AAAGACTTGCTTTCAAAAGACATTAAATATACGTATGTTGAATATCTGGTAATTCCGGGATTTTTACCGTCAATACTACAGATCGTCTGATAAGTTCATTTTTTTAATCTCCGGAGCATTATTCTAGTTGCTAAATCAACAAGATAGAAATATTGATCACAATCGATAGCTGGATATACAATCGAAGTGTAACCGTAGTAAACAATATTCTTAATAAGATTGTGTATGAAATTTATGGTGGATTATTGAAAGATAATTCGATTTATATTAGGCGTCCATTTTATAAAAAAATCTTGCTTTGCAAGGTAACTCGCCCTATAGAAATGATATATATGTTTGTGATCGGTAGTTTCTAACATTACTCTTATGCTTAGAATTCTCACTGAAGTATTAGCTGTGTTTAATATTGCCTATTTCAATGTATCTGATGATGAAGTACTAACAATAGCATCAACTTAATTAACAAAAAGACACATTATAGTTAGGATTTTGCCCGGGTAAAATACTTTTCTGTTTACAAATTGGAATGTGATGTATTCTTCGATAATTTCTCATATTTCTCTTGGTATTTTCGCTACTTGCCGTTCGGTCTTTCGATGTGACGATGATTGAACTTCTACACTATCACAATTGTCTATAATAGTACAACTTGCTTGAACGATCGAAATAAAATATAGATATCTATTTGCCTAGATGAATTGTGTCTATGCATGCGATAACATAATCAACGTTTGAGACAAATAACTTATATACATTCGTAGTTCTATTTTATCAACGACTATTTGTCTCCATGAAATAGAATGAAATTGTTCAAGTCATGATGAAGAACTTTTTCTAATTAATCATGGTTTGTAATTAAGTCGATGGGACGTTTTATCAAAATGTCCATTACGATTTGTGATCATAAAATGGCTTATTCCATACGTTCATCTTGTTTGTGACACGGTCAGAATAGTTAGTCGAGTGTTTATTCCATTGGTTGAGTCAAGTTTGGAAGAAATACAGATGCGTTCTTTCTTTCTTTCTTCTAGATTTCCTGTTCTTTTTTATTGATTTTTCAAATTCCGACGTTCATCACGGAAGTTATTTTAAGATGATCTCGAAGGATAGAGTGAAAAAGTGACCCACAAAGCTTATATAATTTTTCTAGTTTTAGTGAATTTTTGACGTGCCTTATTTACGTCATGTAGTAAACGTCTAAATTCTTTGAATCTTTTGATTTACAATAAAAATCGAACAATAGATATATGTATATTTGTCTCATTTGTCGTCATCAATCTGTCATGTTTGAGAGAGTATTTCTCTTCGAAGAAATTTATCACATGAAGAATTTTTCAAATATCAAAAATGTCCAACAGGCTCAAAGTCAGTGATACTTTTACCTTTCAAAACTCTTATCATACGGTATCGTTGGTTTTCAGCCATTAATATCCCCTTGAAAAACAAAATTATTTTGTCATGATTTTCGCTACATAACAAGATATGTCGTATGACTGATCAATAATATGATTTTTATGCTTTCTCTTTTGAATGTTGAAATGGATATCCACAATTAATACAGGCAACATCTAATACCTCGAGGAAATAAAAATCCTCTCTTTGGTATCGAGATGAATACATATCGTCAATATATCTTGCTTGACTGATTATTCAAATATAAAACAAATATTTAATCTACCGATTGAATATACTTGATCGGATCTGATGAAATGGAAGAACTGTCTTCATTGAAATGCATAGTATTAGCTGTCAAAAATAATTATGCAGTTGATTCTTTATGAAGATGCACTGATGTGACAAAAAAACGTATGAATATGATGTGAAATCGATTTCTTACAAATGACAAGAAACATTGTACCGGCAGTAAACGTGAGTAAACATGCTATAATACTGTTTTCAGTCATTGTAGCGATACAATAAAAAAACTTAATCAGTACTCTCGCATTCCGCTTTCAACCGAAATCTAGATGCATATTAATATATATATTGACTTTGACAGAAAACTTAACGCATACGCGCAATAGTGATATTCATGTTCTATGACGAGAATCCTCTCTTTAAATACGCTATTCATATAGCATTCGTCTTTTAACAAGTGGATTGTTTTAAATATTTTCTCTACCGCTCTTTCGCAGATGAACTTCACTGAAAATTGTCACGCAGCAAAATGTTTTTTTTTGTTTTCATTTTCTTCAAACTTATAGGTATTGAAAGAAACAAGATCATACAAGTCATTGTTTGATTAGTGCAGATGAGTGAGTGTGAGTCAGGATTAGAGCCGGTCCGGTTCAGGAAGTCAACCGGGCCGGTAGATACCGGAATTTCACTGATTGGAAGTTTGGGAAAATCTTCTTTGTTAACCCTGTTTTGGGCCATAAAAACTAAGGTGTCGCATGTTTTTTCTGTCAGAACACGTAAAAAAGTGCTCAAAACATGTTTTATTAATCATTTTTTAAAGATTCTCTTAAAGATTCATTACAATGGGTGTCTTTTATATGCGGCCCTAAACTATTTCATATTTAAAGTCATTTTTTCTAAAAATCGTTTTTCAAAAAAGTTCCGCATTTCCCGCTGGTTTTTAACCGGTTTCCTGCCGGGCCGATTCTTATTTCTCAGCCTGTTACAACCCTAGTGTGAGTGAATGTGAAGAGGAAGTTAATGCTCACCCATCCGACCCACATCCATTCTCCAAATTGTAGACGATACAAAATTTTGAGATACATTTTTGATGAATTCTGACGACAGTAAAGTGAAAAAATGGTTTAACTGAGCGAATAATTGATATTCAATCATTCAATTGACTCATTGATCTCAAACTTATCTCATAACTACACTGACAACTATTGTCTCCTTAATAAAATGTTAATATCGAAAATTTTCATCGTCTTCTATTATATGATATGTAATCAGCTGCCAGAGCTTGGTCAATGTTAAGACTGAGAAAGTCACTGGGTCAATATGAAAACAAGTGGCTTTGATGAAAATTTTATGGATCAATCACAACTATGTAAATAAACAATAAAATTGACCGATTGAAAAATAATCTGACATTAGACATGCTCCATTGGGTCAGGAAGTTTTCTCAAAAACGGAACCTTTAGATATTGATTAAGAGCAAGACAAATAAATAAGAACATAGATTGGTTGAGGTAATAAATGATTGCGTCTATTGTGACATCGATCACTATATTCTATATATTGTCCATAATCGTATGACAATAGTCGACCGATAGATCGAAATGTATAATCTGAACAATAGAATGTCGATAATAACATGACCTGAGAGAGACAACCGTAGAGATACGTTATATGCTATCAATCGAAATATTTGATCGTAAAATCATGGCTATCGAATATTCCTTAGAGAATATGTAACCTGTTGTGACATTAGTATTCGTTTCATGGTGTCTTCTTTCGTATTGAATATTTCATATGTAGTTTGAAGAGAAACAGCAATATTGGCTATTAGAGTATCCTGATAGAATTCGATCTTTACGTGCTCCGATTATATCTGAAAATAGATTCAAGTAAAAATATACCATAAATATTTGAATATCCGTTGGATATAAATTGATCTTATTGAATGTTCATGTGATAGTCTTAACAGCAGCATTCAAACTTTTTAATACATCAGGTTTTTCATTTGCTCAAGGACGTATTAAAGAATATAACTGTCGAAAAACGACGATGATTATGTTAAATAGTCGTGCATAACGAGTAAGTGTTTTGTATTAACGCACTTCGATGTGCGATCATAAAAGTGTATGTTTTGACGTTCGAATACCTTCGATGATTGTTAATAACGATGATCAGTCATAAATAATTGAATGTCGAAATTGCAACATATAACGTACTGAGGACATCTAAATATGACTATGGATGTGAGACTAATGTGTCTTGATGGAAAGGCAGATGAAAACCAATCTTCTCTTATCTTCGCACACTCACTCTTTCATTCGAAATTTTAATCATGAAATTTCATTTATGTCCTGACTGTATCTAGAACGGTTTGGCAAAGTCTTTTTTTCATGAAAGATATTTTTCGCTTGAAATTTGCATAATTCTTATCGATCAAAAATCTTCCTCCTACTGGGTTGAGAACATAGATCCGATAATGGTAATTGTCAGATTCTTTTTTCCCTCGTATTTGGTATCCTAGCCGAGCCATTCTTATATGTTGGTTTAATCGTGCTTCTCATGAATATTATGATTTTGCTGTTATTCTCGAAGAGAAAAAACATACTATTGACAGAAAATAAAATGCACTCTTTGTGCATTGCTTATCGAACTTTTTCTGCGCAAATGAATTCATCAACTTAAACTTACCTTATGAAAATGCATAATCTTTTTCATGAAAAATAATACATAGAATGCAGAGCAAACAAATTTTATTTAGTCTCCAAAGATGATTAATGCGATACAAACACCGCGCATTACGTTTTGATTAAACGTAAGAAGCAAAATCAAGCTCTTTAAACTAAATGCATCACGAAATAAAGTAAATAATATCGCACTTTGCAGTGATGCTCTAAGAAGGATCTGTATCGCATAAAAAATCGATTACTCTTCTATTTATCGAGCGGTTATCGTCAATATACGATGGATTAACTAATCCTTAATCGATAAGCACACTGAAAATGAAAAACAAATTATGATTCGTACACCGATCATCATTAAGATCATTATTGATTTGAATTTTTCCTGGACATGATGCCAGGTAAGTTTAAGTAAAAGAATAACAGAATATATTTTTTCACTAATACCGGTCTCTTTGATTCTGCTCATCAGTTTTTTCTTCATTCGTCTGTGAATTTCTTTTGGCTTCTCTTCAAATTGATTAATTCTCATAAATAAATACTTTTAGGTTGAATGTTGACAAAATATTTAGTAATATGATAGCTTCTAGGTTGTCGTCTTATCAAACTTCTATAATTTCAATTCATAAAACAATATTCTTTCAATAATTCATTTCGTGATCAAAGTCGCTACTATCAAGCACCATGGCTTTACAAACATCTTCTAGTAATCAAGAATCTACTAATAAGAATCCAATTCGTGTTGGTATTCGTCTTATGTTTCAGCGTATCGGTGAGTTCATTATTAAAGACTATTGTTGTTGAGTAGAATTACTTAAACTAAATCAGATTTCAAACCAATTAATGTGTAAGTGTTCGTACAGTTTTACAACATTAATAAAAATCGAATAGAGAATAACGGCTTTTTCATTGTTCAACTTTTTTATAAAGCATGATTATTAATGAGTGTAGAGGCTTATAGGAATAAAGTCGTGTATTCAAACTATTAACTGACATAGAGAATGTAAAATTTCTCATTGTAAAAAAGACGAATATGTGTAGGACACACATATAGAAATAGAAATAATCTATCGCCTTTCAGATTTTAATTCTAGAGCGACAACATAGAAATTTTTTTCCATTATAAGGCGAAATCGATACATTGACTGAAAAATATCAAGCACAAGCATCAATCGAAGCTCGTTGGCTAGTTGAATTGACCGATATATTACCGATTCTTTCGTTAACTGATCAACATAATTTGAATGTTGGAAAATCTGTAACACTTGTAAAATATGGTGATGTTAATTGGCATCCTCAATTGTTCATCGAAAATGCTCTTGGAGATCTGAAAGAACAAATAAGATATAGTGGAAAGAAAATCTCTAATGATCAAGTTTGTATATGTGAACATCGTGACATAAAAGGATTGTTTTGGGAAAAACTTGAATTGCATCATTTTCCATCTGATATTCAAGAATTAACTATTTCTATTGGTTCAATGCTCTATGATGACAAAGCAGTACTGATTCCTGATCCATATTATCATAGTGGAATAAATCGTGAAGCATTCGTTGATCAACAAGAATGGTCTTTGTATGAACATGTTGATGCAAAGCAACGCTTCATTCAAGAATATTCTCACAGTGATAATGACGAAGAAAATATTGATATGAGCTCGAATGAAAATCGAAGACGTTCACTTGTATCTGTATCTTGTCATGCAGGTTAATCTTCTATTAACTATAATATAATCGAATTATTTGATTGAATAGTTTTTTTTGTTGTTGCTAGCACGTCGTTCTGGTTATTTCTATTGGAATGGTTATTGCCTTGTTTTTCTTATTACTATTAGTGCATTTTGTATATTTTCAATGCCACCTAAGTATAAATATTTAAAATGATAATAATACATTTTTTCTATTGGTTTTTTTAATTATTTTATTTTTCGTTTAGTTTGCCACAAAATCGTCTTCAAACTGGAGCTACTCTCCTTCTAACTTCGATTACTTTTCGTTGGACAGTAAATCGATCTCTCGTAAGTAGACATAATCTTATCAAAAATAAATCATTTTAAATGATACAAAAGTTTTTAAGTTGTTCATATTGAAAAATATCAAGATTTTTTTTTCGTGATAGAAAGAACTGTAATTACTAAAATGTTAACTTATTTTTTATTTGAAAAAAAGAAATCTTTTCAATTATAATCATTGTTATTCTAGCCTACAATATCCTATTTGACATCATTGGATCGCTATGCTATAATATCCATATTTATTCTTATACTCTTATGTACATGGCATGCTATTATTGGTGCTATTATTTTCATTGAAAAACGCACTTCAACAACTGCTCCAGATGATCGAAATTCTTGGCTAGATCGATGTGTATTCTTTGCCTTTTTTGCTCTTTATATTCTTATGCATGTTATTATGTTTATTTGGCTATATCGAGTACCACTTGCCAATAGACGAGAAATGAAACAAAAAGATATTCAATATAGAGAAAAACTTCACACGCAAATCAATGAAGGACGATTGTTTAAGAGAGAATATGCCTTTGAATTATTGAATAAGAGCAAGAATAAGAACAAATACGTCGTGTCAGAAATGATATGATAGAAATAGAAATACTATTGACAAATAGGAACTTAATCAAATATTTGCCAATTTTATTCGAAACGATTTAATTTAAAGTTAGTTTCGAAAGATCAGAACTAAATAAAATATTATGTATCTAATCTTTTTCAAGTTTATGCTTTTAAAAACAGTTAAATTCTTTTGCTTTTTTTGTTGTGCTTTGTGCTCTACTTAATCGATACATATCTTTATTGTAGTTCAATAAATATATGGAAATTATTCACCATTTAAGAGAATGATTAATATTATAAAATCGACTTCTTAATGAACTTTTCAATTTGTTTTACTTTGCATTTCAACATTAGTCGAGATTATAATTAAATAATATTGAGATTAATTTCGATTGTTGTCAATTGTAGTTGTTGGAATGTATATAGGTTTATCGTCAACTACTGTCACACCCTAAATAAGATTTAAAAATCAGTGCCATTATTTTCATCGAAAATTCAATAAAAATGTTAATTATTCAATTTCAGAATTTAATTCTCTATCAAGGCAACAAGTTAGAATGGCGAGATAAATTTAGTAAAATATAATGTCAGTAATAAATATTTGAATTCGTTGTTAACTTTCCTTAAGTGAAATATTTGTGTAGAATAATTTAATAATAAATTATTTTAGATAAACAACTTTCTTATTGATAAGATTCGATTCAATATGGTTTATCTGAGAATGATTTCAATTTGAAATTTGAAATATTTAAACATCGATATATATTTTTATTATTGAGATCAGTCTCGTAGATAAATATCAAAAATTTATTTATTTTTATATTTGCTTTTGTTTCATGAATATATGCTCAATGAAAATCTAAGTATTCTACTGATTATATTCATTGTTTTGATTTAAATAGAGTATTTCTTATTTGCACACTTTAGAAATTAAACGTAGTAAAAAAAAAAACTTCATAGATATATAAGATAAAAATGGTAAGTGAATATTCATTTTCCAAGAATATTATTATCTAACTCAGATAATTATAATAATTGAAGATAAAAAGCATTGTTTAATGAAAACAATCATAGAAATTTTTGAATAAAACAACAATAAGTATTTTCATTTGATACAGTGACGCAGTCAGCTAGTTTTCAATTCTCAACTATTTAACAGTTAAACTGTTGTGAACAATAGTCACTGTTTTGAACAAATGCTAGCATAAGAAGTTTAGTGGCCGTGAACAATTGACAAATAGACCATGAATGAATTCACTACAGTTTCGATATTTGAAAATACACAAGTTTTCATATGATAAACACTATTCATGAGTGTGACACCTCGATATAGAATGATTATCAAGCATGAATAAGAATATTTTCATTTGTTAACGTCATAGGAATGACATTGAAAACAACTTCTTTTTTTTTTATATATCATCGTGACAGTGGTAAACTTTCTGTTGTAATTGATATTTCTAAAGGATAATCATTTGTTGGAGAGTATGTCAAAATATATTGATAAACAATTTATATATATATAAAGGTTAGAACATTTGTTTGTTCGTATTAACCATCCATATCAAGCTATATTGACCAAATATATTGCATATGGTCGTATTTTTTTCGATATAATTATTTTGAGTAAAAAATAAAAGAAATTTGAACGAGGTCTTCTATAATAAAAATGAAAAACGCATTTGAAGTTCAAAAGAAGCTTTTCTTCTTTGACTAAATATCAAAAATACGAGAGAAAATTCTATTTTTTTAAAAATCTGATCAATTCAAAACGATAATTAATAATTAGTGTTAGAGTTTTTTTTTAGAGATATAACGATATCAATATTCTAATACTAACAAAGAATGGTATTGATATTATTTATTTTAAATAAAACTAAATCTCGTCATGTATTAACATATCAATCTATTCAAACCAATAATAGAGTACATAGTTAAATAAGATTCTATAAAAGTTTTAGATTTATCTAAACAAGCAGTTTATAATAAAAAAAAAAAACTGAGACTATTAACCAAGTTTCTATCAATAAAAAAAATAACATGATAAATAATCATCTGAATATTTAGCTTATACAAAAAAAAGATCGATCAATTACCGAAAATTCTAATTTAGGACTAAATATAAGGCAATAGTCAAAGTGTTCTTTTAAATTATTTTAATTATTCACTTGTTTGTAATTGTAAATTTTTTATTTAATTAAATGATACTAATCAATATCGTCAAGTTACAATTTATTTTTTTTGTTTTGCTGTAAGAAAAACGAATGAGTAGGATAGATGTTCGAATAGATAGTTTATCCAATTTAAAGTAAAACTTTCAAATGTTTATTTGTTGATAAAATATATTGATCATTAAAATTTGTAAATTAAATTTGCTTTTTGATTATATTTTAAAAGAGATAATCAATTTAAAGTTCTTTATTATAAGTGAATCGAACATAAACTAAAAATTTTTTTATAAATGAAAAAATTATTTTAAAAATAAAAAAATTATTCTTTATTATTTAACAAACATAGTTAATACTATTTACTATTTAGGTTACTATTAAATATATGTCGAGAAAACAATTTCGAAATATTTGTTGTTTTCAGTTTGTAATCTATGAATAGTGAAGAATTTATTCTGATAGAAATCATATATGTCCATTCGATATGAAAAATTTCGTTAACAAGCCGCTTCGAATTACAATTAAAATATTTCTTATCGTATTGATATTCGAAAAATATGTCAAATGCCATTATGATTACTAAATTGAACGAAATTCATTGAATTTTCGAGAATCAAATTTTTGAAAAATGAAATCCTGTTCAGTTATTCTTGTCAGTTTGCTATGTGACAAGAAAAATTTGTCACTTTCCTATCGATATCAATAAAAACCAATTATGATCTTAGTGTGATAAACATCTCTAATAAAAGCTTAAACATAATTTCAAGATTATGTAGAGAATAAATTCTGCTTTTTATTTTATTTGATTTAATATGTAGGTTGCGCAACGTCTGTTTTTATTAGAAATATTAATTATATACGTAAAATAAAGGTTTATTCACCAAGGCTTTTTTTCATAATGTTTTTGATATTTTCTATCGGCAAAAAGCAAAAAAAACGTCGTTGAGAATTTTGTTTTGCTTTTTTTTCATCGTTCGATCAATATTCAAAGTTCAAGAGCAACAAAAAAGACAAGTGAAATGTCACAATGTCCTTGTTTCTGTCCAGTGGTTGTTATATTTAAGTTAATCGATTTTAATCGTTCGAAAATTCAACGAATATTTCAAAGATTTTTGTCCAATTTTTTTTTCAAATATTAACCATTGATTTTATTACTTTCAATCACTTTTTAGGTCCATCAATACATAAACAATACGAAAGACATATATGCTTTGAGATAAATAAAAGAAAAAGTTCGCTTAAGATTTCTTGAAAAGTCGTATCCACTAAACAATGTTTCGATGAAAAAACGAATAACAATCAGTTTATTTGTTAATAAAAATAAATTGTGTTTTTTCGATACCAAAAAACTTATTGCTAATTGATAAAACTCATTTCTTTTTTTGAATATGAATTCAGACGCGTCCTTAACCGATCGCATCCTGAGACTATTCGAAGACATGTTTAAAGAAAAGAAATTTTATTAAAAAGAATATCAATTTTTAGTTATTCTTTTCTATAAAGTTTTATTTATACGATGGAATTAAGTTGAAAAACTTATTGAAATTCATTGTTGAAGTTATATCCTTTTGATAAATCTTATATTAAAAACAAGAATTAATTTCACTTCAATTTTTTTTAATGATAACATCATTAGAATCTTTTTTTTTCCTATTTTTTTTAAACTGAATATTGAAGATAAAATTTTTCATTTTCATAATTGACATCATAAAGAAATTGTTTTGATCGAGTCGAACATACTTCATCATTCAAATTTTTCTTTGCACCCAATTTTTACTGTGGCCTATTAGTTGTTGTTGTCAAACATTTTATTCATTTGAGATATACTTTTAATACGCCTTTACTCTTTCTTTCAAGATCAACTCTCGAAGGCATATGCTCACATAACATTATTCCTCTCCATTTCTCTTCGTACCATTTTCAAAACGATCAGTAATTGCGTAGAAACGATAAAAGAAATATTTAATGAAGTTTTTATATTTCTACGGAGTTCATATGTTGATCAGCGGAAAGTATCTAGATTTTTCTTTTGTATATTCATTATTATTCGTTATTTGATCATCAGAATATATTCATGCCTGTTTTATTATCAAGACCATCGTTCGATTGAATAAAACTTCGCACAGATTATTATTTCACTAAAAAGAATGTCTACTGATGATTGTTGTGAAGAAAAAAAGAAAATTCTTTTTCAAGAGGCGCACTTCAAAAACAGAATATAATCAACTATTTTTCTTTTCATTTCACTAGGTTCCATTAATACAAGAGTGATTCATTTTTAATGCATTGTATTGTGTACAATGAGAACAAACCAAATCTATAATTATCAACAAACAAACAGAAAAAGCACAGTTCACTTTTTGTTCGAAGCAAAAATAAAAAGTAAAGAATGGAACGAACTTCATTCTTTAGATAATTTTCTCTGAAAAATAGATCAATGAGATCTTCAAGATAAATACTCAAGACAATTGAAATTTACAGTATATACAAGAAATAATTTTTCTTTTATGAATTTTATCAATTTATAAGAGTCTTTATCTACGGATTTAACATCGATTGAACTTCCTAGACTAAATCAATTAGATATTTCGCCTTCTTACATAAATATATCTCTCGAATGTTAGTTTCGAAGACACACGGTCAAGTAATCATAGCAACATCATATATTTCTCAACAAACATTAGATATTACCATAATAAAGTTATTTTCACGAGAAAAGATAACAGTTGTTTATTCTTCACTTTTAAAGAAATATTTATCCCATTAAGTTTGTATTATTAATCAGATTCATGACAACAAATAAAATACAGTTATAGCCAATGAATTTTCTGACACGAAAAAATAAAAAGAATGAAGAGAG